AGGAGGACCTGAGTTCAAATGCGGCCTCAGACACATAACACTTACTAGCTGTGTGACTCTGGGCAAGTCACTTAACCCCAACTGCTTCACTAAAAAAACAATAAAAACAATAACAACAACAAAAACCAACACTTCCTTCTAAATTTTTCTTATTAACAATTAGTTGAATGTTCAACTATGGCAGGTAGTATGCTGCAGCACAGAATACTTCCAAGTACAGCTAACATTTTTGGGGAAATAGCTTTATACTGTAATACTTTACTATTCCTTATACAATTAATTGCTACTTTTGTTATTTCTGCATTGTGTACAGGAAATAAATATTATTGCCTGATTAACATACAAGAATTTTGTTCCAATGCTTATTTATTGCCTATACCATTTTGTATCTCTACTCCATGATTTATTTTAAAAATCACTTGCAAACAGAAATGTATTTAGGGAAACAGAAAGGAACCAGCATTTATAAAGTGTTCACTATGTGTCAGGCACTCTGTGCTATGCACTTTACAAATACAGTGCTGGAAGGTGAGTGTTATTATGACCCCCATCTACAGTTGAGGAAACTGAGGCAAAGTTTAAGTGTCTTACACCCAGGGTCAAATAGCTAGTAAGTAGCTGAGGCCACATCTGAACTAAGGTCTTCTTGATTCCAGGTCCAGTGCTCTATCCACTATGCCATCTAGCTGCCTCTAAATTTATACAAAAGCAATATTAAAGCATTTATTAATATATCTTCTCACACAGGCTGATCAATTTACTTTTTAAAAAGGTCTACACATGTATAACCTATATCAAATTGCTTGTCTGCTCAATAAGGGGCTAGGGAGAAAAGATAATTTGGAACTCAAATTTTTTAAAAACAGATGTTAAAAACTGATTTTGCATGTAATTGGGGAAAAATAAAATATTTTATTTATTTATTTATTCATTCATTTATTTATTTAGGTGAGGCAATTGGGGTTAAGTGACTTGACCAGAGTCACACAGCTTGTGAGATGTTATGTGTCTGAAGCTGGATTTGAACTCAACTCCTCCTGACTCCAGGGCCGTTGCTCTAGCCACTGCACCACCTAGCTGCCCCCAATAAATAATTTTTTAAAATAAATTTAAATGGTCCTTATTTTCTACCAGATGCGTTGGAAGTACACTAGAAAAAATTTTTTTTCTTGTTTACATATAACTATCACTAGTGAGAGAGTGACAAAATTTGAGGTATTTAATAAGTTGTTGGATGAATTCATGAACATTTTGCATAGTATCAAAAAGCCAAAAATGTATTAACAGGAAAATAATCAGAGTGAATATAAATAAATATCTGACATCTTTTAAGGATTAATTATTCTGGTTAGAAACCAACAACACTCAAAACTCTTGGAACACTCTTAGCAACACTGGGAAAATCTAAAGGTGTTGGTTATGAAAAATTTACTATTTTCATCTTTTAAGTACATAGCACAACCCCAACATCACTGAGATTCAAAGATACCGCATTTCTCAAAATGATAAATGCTAAAGAGTTCATAAGGCTGTTTACTAGTTGAAGCTATTCTTACATTTAAAGTTCTAATAGAATACAAGAGTTAAGTTCTAACATGAGAGTATTACCTTTTTCATGAGAATTCTGCATCTGTAAATATAAAGGCTGAGAACACAACTTGTGTCTTTAAGCCTAAGGTTGTAATTTACTTGATCATGCCAGCAATCTAAAGAGTTCCAAGCATACTCTGGTTACCTGAAAAAAATGTTTCTCCCCAATGCTGTCAGTATAAATAAAAATTCTTCAAAATACTTTCCTTTCATTCAAAGTTGAATATACTGAAGTACTGAGAGCAGCTCAAAGTTTTTAGCTTTCTATTTCTAATTCAAAATTCTGCCTTACCTCACCACAAATTATACCTCGTTACATTAGAACATCATGCAGGACATTTGTTCTGAATTTCAAGTGGAAGTTAGTATTTGTTACTGTGGACTGTTAATCAGTTTTGTGGTCATATATTATAAAACACTAGGATACCATTCAATAAGTGAGATGCTTGCTAAATAGATAGATATCTGAAAATCAGACTTTGGAGACAAAAAAATAACAAAATAAACCAGGAATAAAACAGTGCTGCTTAAGTAGTATTGATTATCCTTTATAAATCAACAAACAAAAGTTAGTTTTTCAACATACAAATGTTCCTAAATAGCCTACTACTTTACCAGGTATTAAACAGTACACTACATACTGACCAAAAAACAATCAAACAAAAACACCAAAAACAAACAAAAAAAAACAGAAGCAGGAAAACAATATGCACAATGACAACAATGTAAACAAAAAGAACAGTAAGAGGAAACCTAAAACTAGTTATAATGACAACCAAGTATTAAACTTGGGAAGATATCAAAAAATGCTTTCAATTGTTTCACTTGTAGAGGTTGGAATCTGAGTGTAGGATACTGCATATTCCAGTCTGACCCACTGATATTTTGCTGTACTGCCTTTTCCTCCCCTTTAACCTTTGTAAGAATGACTCCCTGAGTGAAAGAAGAGAGGTATATATTTGGAAATGAATGTGATGTAAAAAAAGCAAAGGGCATAAAAAACATTAATTTTTTAAAATAGAGGACTACTTTCCATTTTGTATCTGAGTTAACTATGCTTTCTCCAGGATAAAAGGCTACATTTGACTTACCAATATTAAATCAACTCTTCTCCTTCAGTCAATTTTGGGCATTTACAAAGTTTATAATCATGTATCATACCCTAAGAATATTAATAGAAAACAGAACACATCTTCGTTAAAGGTCAACTTTGACTGGCAGCTAATATAGATGTGCCACCTTTTGAAAAAGTAATCACGGTTCTATTTTGTTACCTGCATTATATCATAATCTTTAGTGAGGCAATCCTCAAGCTTCATTAAATATATTACTACATGAAAAAAGGACCATTTCAGTAAAATGAAAAATCATAACTCCCCATTTTCAGGACAACAGTTTTTCTCCTTTGTAAAAGAAGTTATAAATAAGTATCCTCCTCCAAAGTGCCATGCACATCCAAACAATTTTTTAAAAAACTCTTTAATTCTTAAAAACAAAACAAAAAACTCTGGCAATTATTACCTAAGTTTCTAAACTTGAACTGATCTGACAAAAAAAGCAATGCTTTTTTCCCCCCAAACTACAAGGACAAAAGTATTTAGTTTATGTTCACTCCCTTTTCCTCCCCCGTTAATTTAATGGTAATAATAATAATTTTGGGGGGAGGGAAATCCATTTTCTTCTTTTTTTCTGCTTCTTCTAACAAAACTGCAGTAAGAGGTCAAGCTATTTTCTGCCAGTGCCATTTTCAAATATTTCTAGTTGCTTAGAGAAGAATGTTTGTACTGGAAAATAGACTGAATGGATGAAAATTAAGTTATGAGGTATGCAGAGATGTTAAAATGACTGCAGAAAACAAGTTTCGTCTGAAGGCTGTCCCGATGTGTTCAGGAAGTTTCAAAGTTTTTGATATGACTTGGATTTAATGGAAGAAGTTGCTTTCTAGGCCTCCCTGGCACAGACTATGCCCTCAAATAATAGAAGTTATCTGTAGATAGATTTATTGTCAGAGGATCTGGGTCTGAATCTCTACTCTGCCTGAGATTACTTACTGCCTTATTACTTAAACCCTGTGCGACTATGGCCAAGTCACTTAACATCTCTGGCCTCAGTTTCCTCATCTGTAAAATGACAGAGTTGAGTGAGAGACTGTAAGGTCTAAGACCCAACGACCTCTCTCTAAGTCTGGACAATGGGAATAATAATGCTTTTGCAGGGCAGCTAGGTGGCACAGTGGATAGAGCATCGGCCCTGGATTTAGGAGGACCTGAGTTCAAATCTACACTCAGACACACAACACTTACTAGCTGTGTGACCCTGCGCAAGTCACTTAACCCCACTGCCTAGCCAAAATAATAATGATAACACTTTTGCTAAAAATCACAAAGCATATATAAGCATGGGCTATCATTTTTACTGGAAAATATAGAGGTCTACAAAATTCATCTGAAGGTAAGTTCTTAGTTTAAATAGAAACTCTGCTTTTACAAAGTTGAAATTATTGCACTTCTAAAGTCACGGTTCTTTCGTGTTAACTAGCAAAATTCTTCCTTTCTTTTTAAGTTTACTACCAAATTTGAAAGGTGTCCTTTTGTCCTCCTAACAGTAACTGTTCACTGGATTTGAATGGGTGTAAATTGCAAGCGGTGAGGTGAGGTAAGCAAAGATGTCAAAAGGACTCTACAAGAAGAAAAATTCGCTTGTTTGAAAATAAATTTCTAGAACAATAAAATCCATAAACTCTAAAATTTCCTCAAAAAAACATTCCTAAGGTTAAAGAGTCTTCGGGACAGCAGAGTTGATTTTCAAGTTAACTAACCAATTTTTAACCAGGTAACTTGGAAAGCGGTATCATCCTATCCCTGAGCCCCTTTCACAGATGGCCAACTTGTCTCCTGAACGTTTTAAACCATTCAGAGGGAGAGCGGGCTGGAAGAGGGCCGGGGGAGGGCCGTGTCCCCGCGCCCCCTCCCCTAGCCTTTCAAACTTTATCCCAACTCCACGGGCAGGACGAGCCCCTCCGCGGCCTGGCTGGTCCCCGGCCCACCTCCGGCCCCACGCAGAGCCGGGCACCGGAGCCGGCGCGGAGTCCCCGCCCCGGGAGCCGCACGAGAGGAGGAAGAGCCGCGTCCCGCGGCCCCGGGCTGGGGACGGGGCTCTCCGCCTCCTCGGCTCCTCTCCCGCTCCTCCAGCCTCGTCCCCACGCTCACCTGAAGTGACCGGCCAAGGAGCACCGGCAGCACCACACCGGCATCAGGCGGCGCTGGAGCGGGGACACGCCGCCGCCGCTGCTCCGCCGGCCCGGTCGCCACCGCCGCCCGCCGCCCCGCAGCCCCGGCGCTCCTCCTCGGCGCTGCGGCAGTTGCTCCCCTCGTGCCAGCCGGCTGCCTCTCGAGCCGCCGGGGTGCCGTCCCCACTGGGGCAGGAGGAGGCGCTTCCGCTACCGCCGCCGCTCGGGGACAGTGCGGCCAACACTGAGGCGGCGGCGGGTGAGGGGACGACGGGGGCGGGGATGATCTCGGGGCGCCGGGGGGCGGGGGGAGGACGCCGACAAGACGGCGGGGCCGCCCGGGCTCCTCCTCGCAGGTGCGGCGGTGGCTGCACAAGAAGGGGATTGGCGGAGAGGAGACCGGCTGGTGGGGGCGGGGATTGACGGAAGGAGGAGGCCGTGACGGGGTGGAGAGCCGAGGAATCGCTTGCCGGCTGGAGGCCAAGCGGAGGGCTCGGCAGGAGGCGACTTCCGCCCTCCTCACCTCCCGGGCCTGGTACCCATGGTCGGGAGGAGGCGCGAGCCGCGACGTGTGGGCCCGCGCCACTGCGGCGGGGATCACGCCGCGCTGCTGGGGGCCGCGGGGTGGGGGTGGTCTAGGTCTCCCGGGAGCCATAGGAAAAGAGGAGGAGGAGCGATGTGGGTGGGGTTGGGGGTAGGTAGGAGAGGATCCATAAGGGAGGGGTGGGTAACAAGATGAGAAATGAAAGGAGCTGCTTCCCCCGGTCCTGAGCGGGAAGTGAGGGAAGCCCCCTTGCTCCCTGGCCGCATTGTGGCAGCTTCTCTGACTTTCTCCCATTGGAATCTCCCTTTGAGGATTTGGTTCTCTAGGGACCTGCCCATGTGGTGGTGGTTCGGGTGGACTTCAAAATGAGTAAGAGGAGCCTGCTTCACCAGTACACACTGTGAGCAGGGGTTCTTAAATAAGTAATTCGACAAGCACCCACTGGGGCCATCCTTCTGCTTTTCCACTAGAATCAGGATGAATGAGAGCCTGTAGACTGCCTTCAGTATATCCATGCTTCGATTCCCGAGGCCGAACCCTGACCCTACTGAGTATCAAAAAAGCACATTCTAAATACATCTTACACTGACATTTACAACTGGTGCCTTACCCTTCTCCCCCCAAACAGTCTCCCAAATCTTTTTGGCCTAAAAATAGGGGCAAGTGTGGTCTGGTGGAAAGAGCACCAACGCTGGGTGAGGAAATATGTGTTTTAGTCTGGCCTTTGCCACCAACCTTGTGTACCTGTGTATGTGGTTAACTTATCCCCACCTCACTGTCTTCCTGTGAAATGAGAGGAGTGGACTGAATGGCCGTTAATTCTGTGACTTTTACTTTTCAGCTTTTAAAAAGAATTCCGTGAATCAAACAAACTTCTTTATTAAGTGCCAGCTTTCTGTTTTATGGGTTAAAAGACAATCACAGGAAGTTTCTTATATAAATTTACAATACAATATAATCTCACCAAATTGTTTTCACTTTAGTCTTTTCTTTTATGAAGTCTTGACAGCTTGTAATGTTTGTTTCCGTTTGCTCCAGAAACATGTTTGACATTCAAGTTTGGTTCCCTTTAAGTTAAGTCAGGTCAATTCAAAAGATAGCATATTTTTAAAATATCTAGAGCTGTAGAAAAACTTTATTTGTGAGCACTTTGTATATCCTTTTGTTTTATGGTTCTCAAGTAGCATCATGCAACAAAACAGCCCTCAACTTGGAGTTTTGGAGCCAGAAATCCTCAGTTCTTGCCACTTGCTATGTGACTCTGGGCAAGTAACAACTTCTCTATGATGAATTTTCGTCGGTAAAATGAGGGAATTGGAATAAATGATTTCTAAGTTCTCTTCCAGCTCTAGTTCTATAATCTTGAAGTTTCATTTTTTAAAAAATTCAAATGATGCTCTCTTTCCCCCCAAACCAGTGAAGTACTTCTAGGATCACATCACCAATTTTTGAACTTACTCAGGTGTGATTTAAAATCTTTGCACTTGACCATCCAGTAGAAAGGATATCAAGTTCACAAAGCTGCTGAGGTTGGGAAGGGCCTCCCCTTTGCTAAATATTTCCCCGAGTAGAGCCTTAATTTCCCTGATGGGAAATTAGTTCTTTTGTTTTTTTTCCTGCTGGATAACCCAGATACTCTTGGGAAGAGCAGAAAATTAAGTTATGATAATCAGCATGGGGTAGACAAGGGGCAGGCCTGGAGATGAGAAGATCTGGGTTCAAGTTCTGTTTGGCAAATCATTTAACTTCTCAGGCAAGTCTTTAAAACTTTAAAACTAAATTTCTGGAGGAAGTTTCTACCCAAGGAATTCTCTACACAGATGGAATCACGGGTTCAGGAGGGAAAAAAACTGTCTCAGCGATTGTCCAAGTCAAGAGGTGGCCCTGGGGAGCCACACGCAAGGAGGGTCTAAAATAACTCCTAACGTAGTAAATAGTGTCGGACTTTGAGTCAGGTGGACTTGTGTTCAGTTTTGGATTTAGAACAGTAGCTCAGGAATCCTGGGAGTCTTTTAGCCTCTGTTCATTTCCTCATTTCTAAAATAGGGATAGTAATGCTTGTATGATTTACCTTCCAGAGTGGTTGTGGTAATCTTACATCGAGATAATGTAAATAAATTCTTTTGCAAACAAAACCCTCTATTAACATCCGTTATTATTTCTGCTCAAAATAGTATGCCCGTCTGAGGTAGCAAGCTCACAATGAGAGTTCTCTGAAGCAGCAAAATGTTGCTTTTAGTGTCCATGTCACCTATGCATAATTGGGGGTCCCTATTTTTGTACACTCAGTACCTCACCATTTACTATTACTCTCTGCCTTACTGGAATGCAATAATGAGTATCATTAAAAACAGCACTTGTCAAGATATACAGTAGTGAAAAGGACCTGTCTTACTTTCTTTGTATGTACATACTTGTGCTTGGAATAGGCTACAAAAATGCTATACTTAATGGAGTTGGGAAGAACACTGTAACTTCTGCCTTGGGGGAGTTAGCTTGTGTCAACCATGACAATTGACACACTCAGCCTAACTCTGAGGCAAAAGCCAAAAGTGTGGTATAACTAATTACTGCATTAAATTTCTTATATAAAGTTTATGCACCCTAACAGAGTACAGTTCCTTTGTGTAAACATAGTAAATATAATTGAATTTAGTCGTTCATCAAATACAGATTTTAATTAGAAAAGCAGAAAAAACAATTACAAGTAGACTATTCCCCAACTTCAATTTCCCTAGTTTGGGCATCCTAATCTATTTCCTTAGAGTTATAATTATAAAGTTGGATTTCAAAACAAAATTGCTATTTATTATAACTGATTCACTTTTTTCTTTCACTTAGAATTCTAACATGGTGCCCTTCTTATCCAGTTAAGTTACACAAAGTAAATGCATGTCCCTAAGCAATGTCCCTGGAGAAGCAACATGAAAAAATGAAAAAGGTATTGAATGTCAAGTCAGGAATAGACCAGTTTCTGACCTTTATTTAGTTCTTTAACCTCTCTCACTCATTTTTCTATCTGTAAAATGAAGATAATAATCCCTAGGATACCTATCTTACAGAATCATTGTGAGGATATAAAGCCTCTGAAGATTTTCAAACTTTAAAGAACTATATAAATATCAGCTGTTATTATTTTTCATTTCTAAGTTGATAACGGGATTATGTATTATTTTTATAAATATAAATTTTATCTAATGTATTGAGAAGTATGGTATCCAAATATATAAAATAAGAAAATTAAACTTGTAAGGCAGGGATTCTTGATCTGGATTCCATACAAAAAAAAATTGATATCTGTATTTTAATATAATTGGTTCCTTTCATAATTTTTTGTTTTACAAACATTTCACATTTTGTTTGAAAAACATTATTCTAAGAAGGAATAGACTTTACCAGTTGCCAGAACAGTCAATGACATGAAAGGTTAAGAGCCTCCCAGGGAAGAGGGAGATTATAAGAGATTGCATATGACTATGAACTGATGTTATTTATGGTTAACCTCATCTTAAAAGACATATACTTTTATTTTACTTCTCACCTGTCTGCACTACTTTGAGACTTCTCCGACTTCTCTACCATGTTCCAGGAAGCTCATTATTGGGAAAACCTTATCATCTTGCAAGATCTCATCAGCCTTGGTACTCTACCTCATCACTACCCTCTTCCTCTCTGATTGGAGGGGGGCGGGCATTAACTCCAAACCACCATTGAAGGAGAGAATTCAGCTCAAACATCTCTTCATTTCTCACTTGGCTGAGCTACCTTGGGGCTTTTCCGACTGACCACGCTGTAGGTTGGAAACCTTCCCCAACTGCCCCTTTTCAGCTTTCTTTTGTGTCTTGTCTTCCCCCATTCTAGTTATCTTGGGGTTTATTGACTAGATTTCTTTCTCAAAGACCATGCCTTAAACTTAATTCACTCTCATTGATTGGCCAACAATAGGTCCATCCCTAAGGACCACTTAATGGTTACTTTTTGGGCCCTCTTGTCTCAGATTGAATGCTAAATTAATTGTTTCTCTTTCTGCCAGCGAACCTGAGGGTCTTCCCCTCTCAGTGTGATTTTTTTTTTTGTATTAAAGGAGCCACCCATTTACTCACTTCTTAAAAAGGCCTAACCACTGAATGGGCATTGCCTAGGTCAAAGTGAGAATTTGGAAAGACCTTAACTTAAAAAGTACACGATCTCCCACTGTAGCCTGGGCTGTCTCCAGTCTCTGTTCTGTTCTGTATCTGGTCACTGGGCCCAAATGGCTCAGGAGGAAAAAGTGAGGCTGGTGACTTTGCACAGCCCTCCCTCAGTCAAATCCAATTCAGTTGCAAGTCATGGCATCATCTTCCTGATGTCATGGTCCTTTTTGAGAATGAAGGACAAACCACACAAGTCTTCCCCTATTAGATTGTTAGCTCTTTGAGGTCAAGAACTTTCTTTATTTGAATTTGTTCCCAGAACTTAGTACACATAGTAGCCACTTAATACATGTTTACTGATTAATAATCAAGATTTCATTGTGTGTATTCGAATAGACAGACACACATACACACACACACACATCTATAGATAATGGTGAAAGAAGTTTCAGGCCAGTAGAAGTGTCAGAAGCCAGATCACCAGGGATTGAGAAGTAAGAGGAAATGGAAGCAACTGGTGTAGGCGACTCTTAGGAGTTTATGAATGTCAGAAGCTATAGCTATAGATATGCATGTATAATAGCTTAAAGGGGATGGCTGAATCAAGTGAAAGCTTTTTAGCTGTTGTTAAGTGATGAATGAAACCTGGGCATGTTAGTAGGCGGCAGAAAAGGAGCCAAAGAATAAGGAGAGTTTAAAGCTGCATGAATGGAGAATTTTTAAAAAATTACTATGTTTTAAGTGCATTCCTGTTACAAAAAAGAGGAAGTGGTTGAGGGGCAAACACACACAAGAGTCTGGAGGGAATGTTGTAATAGGCACAAGAAGAGGGGTTGACTATGAAAAAGAGAACCACCTCTTCCTCAGAGACAGGAACAAAGAGAGAATGATGGATGACTTAGAGTAGTGGAATTTTGAGATATGAAATGAGAAGAGGGAAATTGCATGTTGTATGGCTTTTTTCAATAAGTAGGAGTCAAATCATCTGCTGAGAGGGAAAAGTGTGAGGATAAAAGATTTGGAGTAGCTTCTGTGGGAAATGTGATGGGAAGTCAATCTGATAAGAATAAAAGGATTGTCATGTGGCATTAAGAACTCAGTTGAGATTAGGTAACAAGTTTGTAGTGGAAATATTTGGCATAGTTGTTTTGATGTTGGGATCTAGAACCCAGAAAGGAAAAACCCTGGACTTTCCCACGTGGGCAAATGTCTGGTGTTGGCCTGAGGCTATAATCCTATCAACTGGCCTTTCATTGTGGCTACACCTAATCTCCCCTTCATTGTCTTACCTCTCTATGGCCTCTGGACATTTCCCACTCTTAATCCTAGTTAGGCTCCATTGTCTGGGTCCCAGGAGTTCTGTTCACCCCAGTTTACTGGCCACTCCCATTCAGATCTTCCTTAGACCCCTCCTCCAGTCACCCCAAACTACTTAGCCATTCCTAGATCCCTCCCACAGTCTTTCAGTATATAAGGTCCATTTTGTCTCCATTAAGGTGCTTAGATTCTTATAATATAGCCACTGCTCTGATTCTTATAATCTTGCCACTGCTGAGGTTTTTATAGTCTGGCCACTAGCTCACAGGTGCTCAGATTCCTTAAGAGTCTGACCAATATGGCGGATCTTTAATAAGCCTTATCTTTGGTTGAAGGAAGGTTTGGGTCGAATTCTTTCGGACAGAACCCGCATGTCATGATCATGGGGTGCCAGCACCCCTAACCTCTAGACCTCATCACCACTACTTGTCTCACATTGCCCCACTACTATTATGGTCTAGGTTTATGCTTACTCTTCCCATGGATGCTGTGTGTATTTGTGGGAAGGAGTGGCTCTAAAGTCCTTTCCAGCTCTAAATCTATGAGTCTTAGAGCACTGGTTCTCAAACATTATTATTCTTTTCTCTGAAGAATCACTGAATGTTTAACTTGGCTACAATGCTGGGGATAGGGAGATACCATACAATTAAAATTGTAGACTCTAAACAATTAAAGACATACTTTTTGAAAATCAGGTGGTACACAGCTATGCCCAAGGGGCTGAGAACCACTGTCATAGAGCTTCAAGGTAGGAAAAATAGTAATAGATGGGACTGGAGGATCAAACACAAGGCAGAATTCAAAAAAGGAAGCAGCAATAAAGACCTGACTTATTTCCTCAGTTTTAGAATTAAGCTAAAGGAGGAAGAAGAGAAACTGTTATTTTTTTTCTGGTTTATTTCTCTATATGCTCTCTTTTATATAACTTATTAATTAGAATTGTTAATCATATTTATAAAGCATTATTGAAACAGTAGTATTTTAGCTTCCTGTGACAGCTGGCATTGTTCTCTAGATTTATACATTGAAATTGTAACTGAACATGTTTATTGGCTGCCACCTGGTATCTGGGAAAGTATTACAGGGGAGGAGAGAAATTAAGCCATCTCATTTAACTGTATTCTCAATTCAGGGTCATGATGCAGAATGATGAACAGAGGAGTTACCTGAACAGGATTTCCCTCTATAGCATCTTGGACAGGTGGCCATTTGCTGTCTGCTGAGTTTCAGTGATGGGAAATTATGAAGGAGCCCATTTGACTTTTGGACAGCTCTAATTGTTAGGGTGCTGTTTCTTACATTGAATCTTAATCCTCCTCTCCACAGCTTCGCTACCTGTTGTTCCTAGTTCTGTCCGTTTTATATTTTAGTCCTTTAAATCCTTGAGGATAACCCATTGAATAGCTTTAGTTCTTTCAACCAATCCCTTCTACAATTATGTGTGTATGTATAATTCCTTCTATGATTATATGTTTATGTAAATATATGTATGTATATATATATATATATATATATGTATTCATACGTACATGTAATAATTGAATATTATTCTTTTCTTAATACATCCTAAGCATGTGTTTGCTTTTTTGGCTATCTCTATCACCCTATTGACTCATCTTAAGTTGTAGTTCATTAAAACCCCTGTATCTTTCCAAAGACCTCCTACTACATGTTATAAAAGACTTGTGACTTTAGTGGGTATGCGATTTAATTGGTGTGGATAATCTTTACAGTGATCCATACTGCAACCCCTACGGCTCTTCTCACTGAAGATAACGTCCTGTTTCCTGTCCATGTTTTCCAGTACATCTGCATAGAAGACCTGACCAACATTCTGGAGGCCTTGCTTTTGTTCTTTTAGAATCTAAGATAGCTAAGTGGTATAGTGAATAGAGCTATGAGTATGGAGATAGGAAGACAAGTTCATTCCAACCTCAGACACTTACCAGCTGTGTGTCTTTGGGCAATTCATTTAACCTCTGTTTACCATAGTTTCCTCAACTGTAAGATCGAGATAATAACAGCACCTATCTCTCAGCGGTGTTACTTGAGATACCATATTTCACCACATAGTCATCACCACCACATAATTGTTGTACCTTGGGGTTTTTTTTTTAGTCCAAAAATTGGTTTATAACCTTTCATCACATAGTCGTTGCATGGTATAATTCAGTTCATCATGCCGCTTAAAAGGTAAACAGAGCAGCAATGTATTCACCAGTGACATATGTATACACATTTATCTCTGGCGCATTGTGAGCTGTGAGCCTAGAATTCTCAGCACGTGCTGAGAATTGAGTATGTTGTCAGTATTCAATTTTAATGTATTTTCACAAGTATTCCATGCATCTACTCTTGCACCAAAGACAGTTTAGTAATAAATAATTTTTAAGTAATACTGGCACAATTTGGAAAAAGGTTCACATAATGGTCATGCCCTACTTTTTTGCAAAGAATTGTCATAAAATCTGCAACAATTATGCGGTGAAATATGGTAAATGAGATAATATTGTAAAGTCCTTAACACAGTGCCTGGAACATAGTAAATGCTACATAAAGTTAGCTATTATTACCTAAAGAGTACTATTATATAAAATGACAGGTTCTCATAGTTGGAAGGAGCAGTAGGATTTAATAGAAGGAGTACTGTCTGATGAGTCAGAGTGACTGAATTTGAAGATGAGATTTTCAATTTTATGACTTTGAGCACTTAACCTTCTTAGGCCTCCATTTCCTCAACTTTATGCATGTAGCATCCTTTCTGGGGCTACCTCACCAGCTCAAAACTTGAAGGTTGCTAGCCGTGTCGCAGTAGGGCCCAACTACTTCCCCAGCCTCCAAAGTACTCTCTGAGGTATGTATTCCAAAACCCATTAGTGTATTTACCTTTAATAGCCGGTAGATAATAAGTAATTCAAATCAAAGGCATTTTCTAAAATGTTATAGTAAGTAGAATAGCTATAAAACTTTCCCCCTCTCTTCTTTTTCCATAGCTGGTTCTTTTCTTTGCTGCCCAGGATCACATTCCGCAGAACCAGCTCCACTGATTCAGCTGACTTGACTCTCTTTGGGTCCACTCTATGCTGATTACATTGTCTCCTAATGAGTATAAAGCAATTCCAGTGCAAAGCATCATGGCCAGTAGAGGGAGAAGAGATAGAAACCTTTTCTTTTTCTCTATCCCTACTGCCCCCAACCTCTCTTCCAGTAAAAGTACAAAGTCCTCTCAAGAGCTGGAGCTTCTTGAGATTGCTAGGGTCATGCTCCTTGAAGCTGTTTCTCCACCCAACTGTATCTCCAGAGTTGGTGAGCTAACTTTTTAAAGACCATCAGAGAAAGTGTCAATAGCAAGCTTCCTTCTTATCCCTTCAAGGAAGACCTCTTCACATTCTAACACTTTCACATCTCTGTTACCTGATCATTACTTTTTGTGATTATATCAAGTGGGCTGGAAGAGAATTAATTTGTCAGAGGGATCCTGACCCAACTCCCCTCCCATATGTAAAATAATAGGGCTTAACTTAATGTCCTTTCTCGTTCTAAATCTATGAATCTCATGGGCCATATAGTCCAACATAAATAGGAAATAAAAATTCTCTATCCAACATACTCAGCCAGTTATCATCCAATCTTTGTGTTAAGCTATCTAGTGAGACTACTAGGTCTATAGCCCAAAGAAATCATAAAAAAGTGAAAGGAACCTACATGTACAAACTATTTATAGCAACTCTTTCTGTGGTGTTAAAGAATCGGAAATTGAGGGGATGTTCATCAATCAGGGAATGGCTGAACAAGTTGTGATATATGAATGTAATGGAATATTATTGTTCTATAAGAAATAACAAGCAGGTGGATATCAGAAAAGCCTGGAGAAAGACTTATATGAACTGATGTAAAGTGAAGTGAGCAGAACCAGGAGAACATTGTACACAGTAACAACAACATCGTGTGATGATCAATTAAGCTCTCCTCAGCAATACAATGATACAAGACAATTCCAAAGGACTAATGATGGAAAATACTATCCACATCCAGGGAAAGAACTGATGTAGTCTCAATGCAGATGGAAGCATACTATTTTCACTTTATTTTTTCATGTTTTTTTTTCTTTTGGTCTGTTTCTTCTCTTACAATGTGACTAATATGGAACTATGTTTACATGATTACACACATATAACCCATGTCAAATTGCTTACTATTTTAGGGAGGGATAGGGGAAAAAGAGAGGGAGAAAATTTTAACTCAAAAAAATTTTTAAGTGAATATTAAAAATTATCTTTGCATATACTTGGAAAAAATAAAATACTATTAAAAATATATCTAGTGAGAGAAAACCCACTATCTCCGGAGGCAGCCCATTCTACTTTGTTGTTTGGTCATTCAGTCTTGTCCAACTCTTTGTGACCTAGTGAACCATAGTACACCAGTGCTGTCCACAGGATTTTCTTGACAAAGATACTAGAGAAGTAATCTTTCTCTGGTGGATTAAGGCAAATAGCAATTAAGCGACCTGTCCAGGGTCACACAGCTAATAAGTGTCTGAAGCTGGATTGAAATTCAGGTCTTCCTGGCTCCAGGCCCAGCTCTCTATCCACTGAGACACCTAGCTGCCCCCATTCTACTTCTAGGTAACTCTAATTATTTAGAGGTTTTTCTTTACCCTGAGCCTAAATCCGATTTTCTGTAACTTCTACTCTTTAATACCAGCTCTAATTTTTGAGTCTAGGAAGAATAAATCTAATGTGTCTCCCACTTGGCAGCCTTTGGTATATTTGAAGAAAGCTATCATGTGCAGCCCTTTGTGTACTCAAAGAAAGCTATCATGTGCTCCCTAAATATTCCTTTCCCTGGGTTAGTCATCCCCATTTCCTTCAAATGATTTTCACAGGGCATGATCTTCAATTCCTTCATCTTCCTGGTTGCTCTCTTTTGGGCACTTTCTAGCTTATCAGTATTACTGAGGCTAATCATCTGTGCCTCTCATTCTCACTAAACAATCGGCACACCTCCTTTTCCAGGTACCTATAGCCTCATTCAGTATCTTTTATGCCAGTTGTGTTTGTAAGTAATCATTGGCATTATGGTGCAGCCCGCGTATGCACGACTTTGAATGCTTCCTTTGATTTGTTTCCAATTTTAATTCTTCCAGGATTGTTGTCTTCCACGTTTTATAGCTATTTAGCTTTGTTGCTAGAATATAGATCTAAAGAAATGGCCATTTCCAGCAGCAATCAATCTGGAATCATTGAAAGTCTGGTATGTAACAATTTCTTAAATGAGATCCAGTTCAACTATTCAATCTTCAGCTACTCAATCCCAGACTCAGTCCTTTTACCCATTTGTAGCATCTGCCAAAAATACAAATATTGATAGACTAATATAATGGACTACCATTCATCAGTATGTCGTAGTCTGAGTAATATGTGTTTTTCATTGACTACATTGAGGTGTGTTAGTTTGCTTTTTTACCAATTTGAATGGCCAGGTCAAGCCCTTTCCCATTGCTTTGGATTTCACTAAGGAATTTTGTAGCATTCTGGTGCTCAGTATAATGAGCATATAATGTTCATATAATAACTTTAAAATTAGAAACTTCATTTCATTTCATTTTCAAAATTTTTTGCACTGACCTCAAAAAGAACCTTTAGTTTATAATCCCTGAAGCTGTGGTTCCTGTCTGACCCAGCCCTAACTGCTTAGCTACTTCCTACACTCTACCTTTGATGTTTTTGCAACTCTACATAAGGTACTTTGCACAGATGACAGGAAAAAATAACTAAAAGATCTCAGACAGGCTATCCTTTATTTTTGTACCTGAGTAAAGATTCCCTCTACAAAAGTCCTGGCAAGTGGCCAGCCAGCCTTTGCTTGAAGACCTGCAGGAACCAGAAGAAACCAGAACATCTCCAGGGGCAGTGCAGCTAGTCCTTTCCACACTGGGCTCTGCCCAACCCACCAGTACAAAATAATTCCTTTTTTGTAATGTGTTATAGCCTTTTCACATATACTATATGACCTTTAGGTTACCCTCCATTTCAATTCTTTGGAGTCTATTGTGTTTCATGACTTGAAGCTAAATAATATTTCTGGAAGAATATTGATATTAAAAAGATGGGTCTTTGTTTTGAAGAGAAGCCTGGGGTAATGAAATAACTGTGCAATTTCCTAAAAGCAATATGATAAGAAAACTTATTTTATTAAATGCATCTTCAAACAATTATATTTTGATGCTTGGTATCTAAATCCCTTTGTGTGCCCACCGTGTTAGCAGCAACTGTTGATCACAACAGTATTATTATGTTGCTATGGACATGGAGTTTCCAGGTATGGTTGCTAGGTCCGTTAGAAAATTTAGAAATAATGCTATCAGCATCAAAATTGAGATTTAATGTAGACTTGTTAAAGATAATTCAAACATGACTGACATTAATGACATTAATAAATAAACAGAATACCCTTCAGGAACCTCAATATTCCAGTTTAATTTTAAATTTAATTTAACAAAAGAGAAGCATTCCCAGGATTCTGTATATCTTCAACAACATCTGGTATCCAGTTTAAAAAAAAATCAAGAAGAATGAATTGAGATACAATATTTTGCAGAATATCTTATGACATTAGGATAGCACTGTTTGAAGGGGTCAAGGAACTTTCATTTTGTAATGGTTATGACTTTAGTCTATCTATCTACTTACCTACCTATCTTTCAGAATATCATACTGGCTTCTTTTTTTTTTTTCCAGCATCACTATTACTAATACCTTCCAATTGACCACTCCTCCAGTTGGACTACCTTTCTTTGTTATCCCTCTTTTCAGAAAAGAACATAAACTTTCTTAGGTTTTCTATTTCTATTACTAAACTGAACTTAGAAATACTAAATACATTTCCTATAACTCTGTATCTCTGGCACTATCTGATGAGTTCTAAGTATTTTTAAAACTCCCATTCTTTCAATTAATTCTGTAGCCCAAGTCAATCAACTTTTGAGTTTCTTCTTGTCTGGGCTATGCGTCTTCTTTCTGTTAGCTATACTTCATTTAAAAATAATTCTGAAATTTTTTCTTGTTTAATTCTTTGAAATATAAAAGCAGTGTGGCCTTGGAAAACCCTAACTGTGTGACTGAACACATCATTTAAGTTTCAAAGAAGTTGGTAATTTGCACTGATAGAGGGAGTTTCCTTACTTGGGAGTTCCCTATATTAACAAAATCACAGATCTACTTCTTCTCCCTATCAGATTTTTTCCTATGTGAGTGTGTGTGTGTGTGTGTGTGGTCTTAGCGTTTGTTTATTTTTTTCAATTATCAAGCATTTTTCCCTCTCCTACTTCTGTTTTCTGTGCTCCACTAAGAAATAAGGAAAAAAACCACTTTTATAGAAAATATGCCTGGTCAAGCAAAACAAATTCTCGTATTGGCCAAAAATGTATATACCGTTAATTGTATTTAGTACATGACATACATCTCTGTCAGGAGGTGGGTAGCATTTTTTCATCATTGGTCCTCTGTAATTATCATTGATCACTTCATTGATAGAGTTCTTAACACTTTCAAAATTGTTTATTTTTATAATGTTGTTATAAATATACAATATTTAATATAATATACCATGCTATTATAATATAAATTGTTCTCCTTGTTCTGCTCACTTCACTTGGCTTTAGTTCGCACAAATCTTCCCACGGAGAGAGAAAAAAACTTCCCAAAGGAGCAACTGTCTCCTTTGTCATTTCTTATGGCACAATAGTATTCCATTATATTCATATATCATAATTTGTTCAGCCATTCTCCAACTAATGAGAACCTCAGTTCTTGGCCACCACAAA